CACACACACACACACACACACACACATATATACACACTCAATCACCTTCAAGACAACACTTTGCTCGATGTCCCGCACCGTGCTGTAATCTTTGAAGGCCAGGAATGACTCAATGGCCTCTGGGTGAGTATGGAACAAACTGGGGAGAAAACAACGTCTGAGTCTAAGTAAATTGAACAAAAGAACTACATCAGTAAAGTAACTAGCATTTAGTGAGGTGAAAAGAATATTTTTGGTGCCGGGTGCTTCAGTTTTTGTATACATGCATGACGTGTTTTTACGGTCTTGTACAGCCAAGAAAATTTCCCCACTGAGACAATTAAGTATTATCTTATCTTATCTTATCGTATCTTATCTTATATTATCTTATCTAATCTTATCTTATCTTACCTTATCTATTTTATGTTGTTTGTTTAATAGAGATTTTATGGCGCTCGCAAATGCATAATAAGGTCATGTGAGCGCCAAATCTTATCTTATCTTATCTTAAAGAGAAGTACAGTTTAGTTTGGTTCTGCTTTAACTTTAAGTTTAGAGGGGAACAAGTGGCATGACAATGTTCATCTAATACAGGTGGGAGACAAACAGCAAGACAAACAGAGAGAAAAAGAAGAGTGAAATAAGAAGTAGGATCTAGCAGTGGGGGCTTCCACCAAGCAACCACAGAAAAAGTAAAGAGAATCATGACAAACTAAAAAAATTAAAAGAAAGGAAGAAAGGTTCCGAGTCAAATGATTATGTCTGTTCAAGTAATAACAAGCCCAGTGACAAAATAAGGATCATTAAAAATATAGATTTACATCTAGTCCCAGGAGCGAGAAAGATTGATTGAGAGAGTCAAAGAAACCGTGAGAAATTATAATATTCGAATTAAATAGAAAGAGCTGCAGGGCTGGCCAAGCATAGAAAACTGCATGTCCCTTCGACACTTAACGGGTAACAGGATGAAAAAGTAAAAGTAAAATATTAAGCAAAAGAGAAAGACGGGCTGACGGAACAATTCTGCCGTCTTAGGCGTATGATTAAAAAAGAAAAAACGTTCCGTTATGCGTAATTAGGTCAACAAGCGTATTTATACAGGGGAGAAAGCAGTATACATGGCGCGTCGTTCTAATATCTTGGTTTTGTGTCTCTACAAATGAAATTACGATTGTTTCGGGCTTTTGAAAATATGCGTTGTGGCCTAATCACATATCGATATTCTCATAACAAAAGAAATTTTAATCAATTACTCCATAACTGTATACTGCATACCAAAGCAAATCAGACAAAAGTGAGACCGTCCAATGAATATTAACATAAAATAATCAGATCGACCAAATTTTAATTTATTGAAGTCGCACACACAATGAGTCAGTGTTTTGACTCTCTTGTACATTTTAGGCACATTATTATACTATTTAATCTACGTTTTTCATTCACAAGACGGCAGAAATAAAGACAGTACTCTCTCTCTTTCACTCTCTCTCTCTCTCTCTCTCTCTCTCTCTCTCTA